AGCCACCTTGGTCACTGGGCTTTGCACCTGCAAGAGTTTTCCTCTTCGGTGGTCTACAAATCTGGCCGCCTACACCATGATGCCGATTGCCTCTCCCGGTACCCTGTTGACGATCCTGAGGACACTGACGAGCCCACGGAGAACTCTATCTTGTCAGTGTCCGACTTCCTAAATATTGGGGAAGAACAGATGCGTGATCGAGAGCTGCTTGAGATCATCAGCCGTATGGAATCCTCCCCAAATGGTGCTTCCGTCCGCTACCTTGTCATTCAAAAGGGTGTGCTATACCGTCGCAACTTCCAACCAGACGGGCCCGACGTTCTCATAGTTGGCCTAAGCATTTGCGCCGCTGTGTTTTCACTGAACTTCACGACGCTCCCACAGCTGGACACCTTGGCGTATCCCACACGTACGAGCGCATCCGGCGCCGTTTCTTTTGGCCAGGCCTTGCTCGTTCGGTACGCCGATACGTCGCCACGTGTGACCTATGCCAACGTCATAAAACACCGTCGCTGCTACCCGCTAGCCATCTTCAACCAATTGACATACCCGCGGAACCATTTTACCGGGTTGGGTTAGACCTGCTTGGTCCTTTTCCCACATCAACATTGGGAAACAAATGGAAAGCCGTTATTACAGACTACGCTACACGCTACGCTATTACGCGAGCTCTATCGACCAGCTGTGCAACCAGCGTCGCTGACTTCATGTTACGGGACGTTATATTGATTCACGGTGCTCCGAGACAGCTCCTCACAGACCGTGGCCGTACATTTCTATCCTAAGTCATCGCCGACATTCCGCGTTCTTGTTCCACGCAACACACACTGACACCTGCTTACCGCCCTCAAACAAACGACCTCACGGAAAACGATTTAACCGCACTTTAACAAATATGCTCGCTATGTACGTGTCGCTCGACCACCGAGACTGGGACCTTGCCTTACCCTACGCAACTTTCGCGTATAATTCATCCCGTCACAACACAGCGGGCTTTACGCCGTTCTACTTATTGTACGGAAGAGAGCCGACTTTACCACTGGACACAGTCATCTCAGCTCACCCTTCGTCCACCAGCGAGTACACCCGCAACGCGATTGCGTGAGCCGATCATGCCCATCAGCTCGCTCGCGCTTGGCTGATGGCGTCGCAAACCAACCAATGCTGTCGGTACGATGCGGAACATAGAGACGTACATTTCGCTCCCGGTACCCTCGTTTTACTCTGGTCTCCTCACCGTCGGCTGGGCCTATCAGAAAAACTTCTGTCTCATTACACGGGACCCTACCGTATATTGCATCAAGTAACACCTGTCACGTACGAGATCAGCCCCATCCATCCATCATCATCTACTATGCGGCCCAGTGATATTGTACACGTCTCTCGGATCAAGCCCTAGAAGAATGTGTCAGATAACGACCTTTAAAGCACCGGGACGGTGCCTCCGCCGCCGGGAGTCATGCTACGTGCCAGTGCATGGATTTGAAGACGACAAAGCAGATAGACTGGCGCGAGCTAATCTGTGTGGCTGGCGCTGCTCGCCTAACCAGCTGTAAATACATCGGTGATTACCCCTAGGAATCGGTCTCCTTCTCGTAACAATATTTTGTTTAATAGTTACTCATCACCAGGTGACGCGACAACCTGCACACTACCGCTTTTTCGGCCTATCCGAACTTTGATACATAGAGCCTATCAGGAGTTTTGCAATTCATATGATTGAATAACTGGGAAAAGGCGGGCAGGATTCCAGGATCAACAGGCCAACTCCACGATGCTCCGATCTCGTCATCGTCCAGAAAAGATTATGATTCCTCCGACTGTGTGTTGAATTGACTCAGCTGATCAAGGTCATCCTCCCCAAACGCCTTATTCTGCCAACAGATGAGCAAGTTCTCCTCAGTGACGCAACAGTTTTCTTCAAGGCAACCGTGAGCTTCCACCACGCGAAGCTCTCGGCCGATTCCCAAGAGCTGACGACATTCATCCCCCCATATGGCCGATAATGCTTTTTGCTTGCTCCCCATTGGCATCACCACCAGTCCCGACTACTTCCAAAGACATATGGCAACAATCCTGGAGGGCCAAGAAGTTGCCAACATGGTCGATGACATTCTGGTTTTTGGACGCACCCACCAGGAGCATGATGCCAGACTGAGCCAGGTGCTATATCGGAATGCAGGCATCACACTGAATGAGGACAAGTGTTGTTATGGGGCATCTGAGGTCTCCGTTGGAGGTGTCATCTCAGCTAAGGGTATCAGGCCAGATCCAAGCAAGGTCGAAGCAGTCATAGTTATGGAAGCTCCCACAGATGTCGTCTGCTTCGCCGACGACATCTGTGGGAGCTTCCATAAGTTGATTCCCATTTCAAGCAGACAACTGTTTGAAATGGGAATTATCTCCCCAAATTCCTGCCACACATCTCGAACGTCACAGAACCCATCAGAGCCTTGCTGAACAAGCCTGCGAGTTGGGTGTGGAAGCATGAGCAAGAGACAGCCTTCAAGAAGGTCAAGGAACTCGATGTCAGATAGGCGCATGGCCAAATGCCAGTCCTCATACACCATGACACTGTCTATGGATGCAAGCTCTTTCGGATTTGCTGTAGGCTTCCTGCAGACTCAACCCTCAGGAGGGAGCTGCCTAGTCACATTTGCTTCGAGGTCCACGATCGAAACTGAACAGCGTTACTGCCATACCGAAAAAGAAGCTTTGGCAATGACATGGGGGGGTATCTAAAAGTCCGATGAATTTGTTCGTGGCGCAATGACGTGGGGGGCTATCTAAGTTCAACGAGTTTGTCCGTAGTATCACTTCTGGCATCGAGACTGACCCCCTGCCACTTGTTTCTGGACTAAACAGAGCTGGACATGTTGCCGCCTCGTATTTAGAAAATACGGCTCAAGACAACGCAGTACCAGTTCTGTTGCATGTGCCAGGAAAGCTGCTAGCAACAGCAGATATCTTATTGCGTATCACCCACAAGGCATCTACTCCTGTAAAAACAGTAGAACTCGTTGCTGCACAAGTAGTCAGCCGCATGTCTAAAGTTTTGCCGCTCAGCCCTGAGGATGTACGGCAGTCACAAGAGTCTGATGGAGAGAGCAAGACTCATCTGTCAGCATGGTTGGTCCCAAAAGACCAAGATACCTCTGCATCTGTCAAAGCATGTCTCTGGCGTGGCCGAGCTTTCCGTCTGTGACAGTATCCTGTTGAAAAGCCCACGGCTGGTCATACCATCATCCATTCAGCCGGCGGTGTTGAAACTGCTGCACGATGGGCATCAACAGGATTAAAGCACTAGCTTGGCAGCCGGTTGGTGGCCCGGGAACTCAGCAGACATCACTTCTCTAGTCACCAACTGCAAACAGTAGCCTCTACCCATGTGAACCTTGCAGAACCACTAGTCTCCACAGCTCTACCTGCACGTCCCTGGAAACTTCTTGGAATGAAATTGTTCCATCTCAATGGCCAGAAGTTCCTCCTAGCGGTGGACTACTACTCGAGCTTCGTGAGGCAGTGACCCTGAGAAGCATCTCAGGCAGTCATCGATACTCTCAAAAGCCTCTTCGCATGTCACAAAATACCGCAAGAGGTCTGGTAATGAACCACTGTTCTCGTCGAAAGAGGGTGCAGCATTTGCGGAGTCTTACGGCTTCAACCATTCAATCAGTAGCCCACACTACGCCTAGTCAAAAGAGAGGCAGAAAGAACCGTATGAACAATTAAGGAACTGTTCTGCAAGTCGACAAGTTCGTCCTCCTCTCACTCTGTTTAGTTATGTGGACACTCGGGTGTAGTTGCTGCACTCCAGTGTAGTTGTTGATGAGACGTTAACTGACAACCAGAGTCCCGAAGCAAAACTCAGAGCTATGTCCCAACTGGTTTGCCTAGGAAAGATGTCGCCAAAGATTCTGCTTACAAGTGCAAGCAGACTGATGACTACAATGGGCATCATGAAGCTCAAGACATGACACCTCTCCAAAGAGCCAGCATGTATGGGTACGCTCTGACAAAATGTGAGCTATATTCCTCAGCCTGGGGCAAAGGCCAAGAAGCTATATGGTTGAAACAGACTCGGGCGGTGTTTTGCAATGCAACTGCTGTCACCTAGTATTTTTCGTGCCTCTGGTGAGAAACCACTGCCGACTCAGCAACCATCTCCACCACAGCAAGTTCCCCTTCAGGAACCTCAGCCTACTAACAGTGTGGAACCTACGGTCCCCAAAGGACCGTCTGTGCAACATTCTCCTGCAGCCAGAGACCATTGTGACGGCGTTAAACAAACATATTATGGCCGGTGCATCGTTCAAACACATCATGAAGTTTCACTTCAAACAATGTGGCAGATGTCTTCCATTCTCCCATCGAACCTTTCAACTTTCAAGAGGGGAGATGTAGAGGTCAGCACAATTCAGCCCTTTTATTGGGCCACCACCTAAGAGCGGCACTTCCTGTTACTTGCACGTGCGCATTCTATATATGTTCGTGCCCAATAAAAAGTGGGTCCCAAATTTCGTCCGAGCCAGCAGCTTGTAAGCGTCGATCTCTGTGTGTCTATGCACCTGCGCACTAACCACACTACACTAAGAACATAAACACTCGTGCACACCCTTGACAAACATGCTGAAACTTAAAAAAGAAAAAATGCATTTTAAAGTGTGATTTAGATGCTGCATAAGGTTGCATTGAGTGCCTTATCAAAGTCATCGTATTTTGTTATTTTCTGCGCAGATACAAAGCTTCACTGAAAGAGAGGCTTAGTCTACTCTTCAACAGAAAGCAATGTCAGTGGTAAGAAGGAAATGTAGGATTTACAAAGTGGCCTTTCGGCATGTCAATCTGCGGTTTCCCAGAGTTCACAACAGTGAAATAAATTTCGCTTGAAATGAGAATTCCTCATTTCAAAGCATGCACAAATGAAATGGTGATGCCAAGCCTGTGCACAAGATGGCAGCCGTTTGATCTATCCACAGCTTTCAAAGTGATAGACCTACTTTTGAGCTCTTTTGTAGGCACCACTTGTAGTCTGAGTCCTAAGGAGATGAGGGTCTTGATAAACTGGTTCTGAGAGGTGAGGCGTGGTGCCTGCAAGACAGAGATGGTTCATTTAAGCACAACACTAGCATATCAAACCAACAAGAACAGTGATTTACTGTACCTACTCATATAATTTGTACACCCCTAATATTTGGCCAACTGTACTGGAAAATGTATAAATTTACTTAGGAATATACAGTTAAACCTGCTTATAACGAACCTCCATGTAACGAATTCCTCAATATAACGAAGTTTTTCAATTCCCTGCCGTCACTCCATAAAAGCACATGTATTTGTAACCTCTATGTAACAAAGTAACAATGGGAGACAACCTTGATATAACGAATTTTCCCCACGGACAATCTAGAAATTTTGCTCCACATTTTGGCATTTTGGTACGACGTGCATCTTCCGCGGCAGCGGCGTGCACGGTGCACAAGGCAAGAGCGAGCGCTCGTTGTTTCACGCGGGTGCGCGCGAGGCGGGCAGGCGGACCTGCTTCTCTGTGCTCCCTTCCGCAGTTATTTTTATAGTGTCATGTGTTTACTTTGTTATTTATGTTTTTGTTTCTCCTTTGTAATCATTTTTTTTAGCAGCAGTAGCAGGGCTGGACTGAGGTTAGTTGTCCCTCATAGCAGTGTCATTTTAACTACATGAGTGACGTTCGGCTGCCTTTTGCAGACCGGTAAAGGGCAAATTTAGGAGAGGGGGATGTGAGAATTGAGGCTAACCCGCTGCCTTTGCGTGGGCTTTGCTGCCTTTTCTGCCGTTCTCATGTCCCGACATGTCGTCTCCCCTCCTTTGCTGCCTGCCACGCTGGGGTTTTCGAGCGCTGCGTCGGGAGCGGGCAGACAGATATTCTCCGGGACTTCAAACGGTGAGCCACGCGATCTTTTCCGTCCGTCGACTCCCGTCGCTCGGGGTTCGTTGGACTTCGCTGACGGTGCCTCGCGTCCGAGGGAAACGCTCACCTTTTGTTGCCCCGTGCGTACGCACGGCCAAAGGGCGGTATGGTGTCCTAGTGCGTGGCCTGGCTACGCCGACCCGTCTCCCTCCGAAGCCAACGCGAGCGCCTTTGCCCTCGCTCGAGCAACCGGGCCTTGGTCCCGGTGTCTCCGTCGATCACCTTTACCGCGGAGACGTGCTCGTGGCACCCTGTGTAGTACTTTGTGCCCGTGGCGTCGATAAGCCTATTTGCTTTCCCGTCGCGCCTTTGCAACGAGCCATACTGCGTTGGGTGTTGCCACAATAAAGTGTTGCGACTTTGAGCAGTATCGTGTTCTCGCCACGGCGATGGTTAACGCGTGCCCTGCGGCTCGCTAAGACCGGACCCACGTTGGTGGCCGTACTCCTACGTGTACACCACACGCTGTTGTGGCCAAAGGAGCTGCTGAAGTCCTTTATTGGTAAAGCTTCAATGGTATTGAGTATGACTGTAACTTAAAGTGCAAGAGGGTTTACACGCTATTTTCATGCAAAATAAAGTGCGGAGAATTGCAAAAGTAGTTGATTCACGCCTTGTTCTATATTATACCGTGAATGAATCGCTATGTTAGCGCTTGTTACTATTTCCGACAATAGTTTTGGGGCCTGAAATGGTTTGATTTAGGTCTTGAATATGCATGTGTCGTATTTCGAATTATCAATATATCGTACTTTTTTTGCTATATCCTTCAAGTTGGATATATCTGAGATCGACTATATTTAGAATATTTTCAATTTTCTAATATTTTCAATTACAAGTGCTCGAACATGCAATGGCATCCCTGGATTGAAGCCAGTCAGCCAGAGTGGCAAGCACGCACCTGGCAGTGGCACTCCATCCTGGTTCGTCCACGCAGGTCGACAACAATGCTGTCGCAACTGTCGTAGCAGGCGCAGCCATTGTCAAAAGCATGACCCGAGCCCAAGTCCCCCAGCAGGGCTGCCTTGCGACTAGACTCGGGAATGTGCCGGCTCCCACCAGCACTCATGCCTGAAAATCATCAAACACGCAGTTTGTAAATGCCATTGTTGACCCAGTCGCCGACTGAGCAGAACGGGAAGAAATTCAATGAAGAAATTTCTCAATTAGCGAATAAATGGCTGCTTAAGGGGAGACATGGCTAGAAAACCACTAAGTAAGGCACAAGTTTTGTTTTTCCAATTCATTTTTGTCCCCAAACGTTGCACCTTTCTTATTTAATGTTGAGGCTAAATACCGCATTTACTTGCATAATTTGTGCATCCCTAATATTTTGCCACCTTTACTAAAAAGAAAAAAAAATATTTACTTGCATACTTTACACTCCATGACCACTCGAGCGAGCGAGTCAACGCGATTGTACATAAAACGGGCTGCAAGTGCCAAGTTGCTCGAGCGTTTGTTTATCTCTACGTCCCCAACCACTATTAGAATGCATGCGAGAGCCTGTCCCAGCAACTGTTCCTCTCGTTCTCTGCGTCCGTGCTACAATGCACACTTGGTTGATTTCAGAAGATTTTTCCGTCACGTTTATCCTGTTCCCTTGCAATGGGCTACAATAATAATGTATACAGGTAAATACAAGCTCCCTGTTATATAGTTTGCAAAAAAAAAAAAAAAAAAGAGAAGCGCGCCACCGCTAAGCTTTTCAGCATCAAGTTCTTCAAACGTGTGACGATCGGTGCAATCGTTACGGAAGAAAGCAGAAGAGTGCACGCTTGCAGTAGAATCTTGATGATACGAATTTGTATGAACCGAAAACAATTTAATGCTGATCATGAAGATGAACAAGAACTTCATGTGTCCCCTACTTTTTGCCAAAAAAAAAAAAAAAGACCATGATGTTCTTTTCAACTTTCCTGCTTTCACCGTCTCTCAATAAAATAGTGCGGTTTCTTCCCTCATGCTGCCGGAACCGAAAAGAATCTAAAGCTGATCATCAAGACGAACAAGAACTTCATGTGTCACCTACTTTTTGCCAAAAAAAAAAAAAAAAGACCATGATGTTCTTTTCAACTTTCCTGCTTTCACCATCTCTCAATAAAATAGTGCGGTTTCTTCCCTCATGCTGCTGGCACTTAAGGCACCTTCACACTGGGCATCAAAGGGAGCAAAAGCAAAAAACTTGTTGAAAATTCACTTGCTTCACCACTTAGGCGACCAAAAAACGCCCCACAAGGTCGACACGACAAAAATCAGTCCTGGAGAATTCAAGCAAATATGTCAGAGCGGCCGCGAAACCCCTTCCGCGTTGGTCAAAAACGTTCACATTCGTTGTGCCCTTAGTACGTGCAAGCACTGCCGTCGCTGCTCTTGACGCTTGAGAATTCATTCCATTTTGCCCGTTTCCTGAGCATTAAAATTCATACCGAATTATAGTTATGCATGAAATGCACTGAAAAGAAAAAGTTTACGCTTTTACAAACATTGTTTCAAGAGATAAGCCAGAAGAAACGACACGAGCAGACACATCTGCAGCGGCAGTGACGGACTCAGCCGGTTGTGCAAAAGCGAGACACTTCAGGGCACAGCAATTGTAATCCAAACCAGGCTCTCGATGAATGCGTGCTTGTCGAGGCCGCGAGCTTTGTTGTGCTGCGTTTGCGATTGCGCTGACGCAGCCACTGCTGACGCCTTTGTTGCCATGCTGAATTCGCGGCTGGTTGTTTACATCACATGGTTTGAGAGCCGTGAAGCAAAAAGGCGATCCGATATCGCATGGTCGCAAATTGGACTCAGACCAACTTTTTGCATGGTCCTCGCGGCGTGGTTTTCCAGCCATTTAGGCGGCGGAGCGGCAGGAATTCTGGAAAGTTTTGCCGCATTCCCTCCCTTCAAGGCCAAGTGTGAATGGGCCTTCCTCCCACAGACAAGCCACGTTACATCATTCACATGCAGCGGTCAATCGTGCTTTCGTATCATCCGCGGTGGCTGAGGAAATCCTTCTTATAACACCAAATCACGGCATATTCCATTAGAAACAACCATAAAATTCATATTGCGAAATTCCCATAAAATGTAATCGCACTATCGAGATTTTACTGTAGGAGTCTCCTGTTGTTCAAAAAAGCCTTTCCAGTTATGTGAAAACGCTTGGGTTCTCCGCTTTTATTGTGTCGTGGGACCTAGTTTTCCTCAGCATTCTCCAGAAGTTTCAAGAATATGGGGCATTCGAACGCACTCAACAGAATCATGGACAAAGAGCTTTGAAAAAGCAGTGACAGAAGCCGCAACGATGATTCCCAATAGGACCTCTCGATCAGCGATTTTGACTAGACCGCACATGACCAGATCTGACTGGTTAAAGTATGTGCTAATCCTGTCAAATAAGCAAGTGCACTTTGTTTGTGCTGTTATTTTTTTTATGTGTATACTGCGTGTGTTAGCATTATTGCACACTATTTCGTTTGTGTTCGTATAGGCTCACGATATTCCCACATAATTTGTGTAGCCTCTTCTCGCAGTCACAAAATCACGAAAAAAGTGAAAATTATGTGAGCAAATACAGTATTGTGAAAAAATTGGCAATTGCAAAAAACCAGTTGCTGCGAGTGCTAGCCAGCCACTGCAGCCCATACCATTACAAGTGATGTCCCTAAATTTTCCCAGGACAAAATCTGGGGACTTTGCCTGTACAGCCCATACCATTACAAGTGATGTCCCTAGATTTTTCCCAAGACAAAATCTGGGAACTTAAAAGTCTAGACTGAAGGCAGTAGTGCTAAACACTGTCATGCACCAGCAGTCATCAGCAACTTCACGGTCAACAGCAGCAAATGTCGATATTCACTAACAATGTGAAAAGGCAGAAGAAACGTGGTTGATTGATATGTGGGGCTTAACGTACCAAAACCACTGTATGACTTTGAGACACGCCGTAATGGATTGCTTCGGAAATTTAGACCACCTGGGGATCTTTAACATGCACCCAAATCTGAGCACACGGGCCTACAACATTTCCGCCTCCACCGGAAATGCAGCCGCCACAGCCAGGATTCAAACCCGCGCCCTGCGGGTCAGCAGCCGAGTACCTTAGCCACTAGACCACCGCGGCGGGGCAGAGGAAACGTGGTTACCAAAGAAGACAAAAAAAGCAAAAGTAGCTTACAGACCAGTATTCCAATCGCTCACTATAATGATGTTTCCATGCAGTTAGCAATGGCACGTTATCTATTCAAAAGTTTGGCAATTTTAAATAGAAGTTATATTTTGATACTAGAGTGTAACCTCATTACAGCAAACTTCTATAGTAAAGAGAATCGATCTCGGTCTGTTGTAAAAGGAGTATGTAAAATCTAAGTACTGTTACAACAGACTTTTATGAAAACACTGAATGGGTCTGTTAAATCACGAGTCATATAATGAATTTCTAAAAACCACATACCGTATTTACTCGCGTAATGAACGCACTCGCATAATAAATGCAACCCGAACTTCAGTCATCAAAATTTAAATTTTTTTTCTCACGTACTGTATATACTCGAATCTAAGCCGATGTTTTTTTCTAAAAAATGATGTGCGAAAGTGGGGGGTGGGCTTGGATTCAAGTACCACGATTTGGCTGCCGCTGCCGTATGCCTGAAAGCCCGAACGCGCTAGCGGCATTACAGCCCTCTATGCGCTGATCTCAAGGTACCGGTTTTGCATATCGGAGGCTCATTTTCACAACATTCTACAAGAGCTGCGCGGTGACAAGGCCGCTCAGGGCTGTTCAGCGAGAGAATAGTGGTCCTTATTTTTTTCGTACAGTCCATTGTCCCGAAATCACGCAGTCCCACATTCACGCAGCAAGGGAGCGAGGGTCGTCGAGCCAGCGAGATTTCACGTTGGAAAAGCCATATAAAGACGGGAAGACGTGGATCCTGTCACGTGATTACCGCCCATAGCTGGATGGATTGACACGGCTGTACCCTTTAGATCCGGTGGCGGCTATGCCTCCTGGCTGTAACACTTAGCGAACAAAAACTAAAATTTTTTTTCTGTAGTGCTCAGAACGCCTGCCCTGTGTTAAAATAGAATAGAAATACCTAATTTGCTAACTGGAGTTTCAAATGAAATGAATTCCCAGCCAAGCTCGTTTTACAAAAAGAAAAATTCGACCCGGCTGTGGCCACCTTGGCCACCTATCGGCTATCGCGTGGCGGATGGCTCAGAGAGGAGGCGTGGAGTTGGTCAATGGTCATTTTTCTGAAAGCGATCATGCAGTGTAGTTCTGCCTCTTGCTCTTGAAAGGCCTGTGTCAATTGTGCTTCAGATTTGATGGCACCAACCAAGCGGTGCCACTACAGCGTGGCATTTAAGTGGAAGGCCATGTTACATGCGGAAAAGACATCGAACCTACAAGCGCAGCAAGAGTTCGGTGTGCACGAAAAGAATGTGCAACGTTGGGAACTCTTCAGTTGTGCAGCAACCCGCATGGCGTTCACAGGACCGAAAACTGGCCGATGTCGCAGATTTCGCTCGAGAACAGAAAAAGGCGGAAATGCCTGCGACGACTGAAATTATTCAGGCGAAGGCCAGAGAAGTCAACATCGCAAAGGGTGTCTCCCGAGCCTATTTTAAAGCCAGCAGAGGCAGGAAAACATGCTTCATGAAACGGTTTGGATTCAGCCTGCAACGACGGACCTCCGCGTGTCAAAAGCTTAGCCTATATTCGAGGAAAGGTTTTTTTTTCTGGCCTTGCCAATTACAGGAGTCGGCCTAATTCGATTATATACGGTAATAAGCGCACCCCCTAAATTTATCAGTTGCAGTCCCGCTAACCAACAACTGGAGCCTTCTTGCACGTTGGATCTCTTCCGTTTTTCATTATTACACCGACCCACCTCGGCCACCTCGACTTGCTCCCTCTCCCCTTCACCCGCTGCGACTTTTTATCTGTGGGCGGCACGCACCCAGTCTTTTTTAAATATCTATACGCTACAGCAGGGTTCACAAGCGATGCGAGTGTAGAGATATCACAGCTAACAAGCACACGGCGAGTGAAAATCACGAAACTTGCCGTGCCAACCGACGGTCGCTTCCTGCATATACGAAACCTTAAGACCCAACCACATGCACGCAATTTTTGAGTGACGACAGGATTTGCTGTCGCTATGGTTGTCGCAAAGGGCCTCTGTCGCCATCGAGTCGCAGGTTTCTAGAAAACCAGAAAGAAATCGCTTGTCGCCCAGAAAAAATAACTATTCCCGCAACATGATCCCGGATTCTCACTTCAGTTGCAATAAGGCGCCCGCCGTAGTTTTCCCTTCATCTTGTTATCGACGGTTCGTTTTAATGCTTTGATGGTAGCTTGCTGCGATGTCGGTTGCTTGCTACAATGTCAACGTCATCGGCGCAGTCGTTGCGCGAGGTTGGCACGAAGTTAGCTAAGTGCGTCGTGGCTTCGTAGCGCATGCTTCTGGGCGCCCCTCGAGATCACAGCAGATACTACTACTGTTGCTGTTAAATGACTGCGAGAAAAGATAGTCCCGAAAAACCCTTTTATGCCGTGCATGCCGCAGGAACAGCTTGCAGAACAAAGTGCCTTTAACCCCCGAAGGTGAGTGAAGTACAACAAAGAAGCTCAGCGACCTAACTTTTTTCTTGCACCCCCCCCCCCCCCCTACCTCCATTTTTTTGCTCATACCAAAAAAGTTTTCACGAAATTTTCCCCGCATACTAAATGCACCCCCAACTTTCCTCCTATTTTTCGAGAAAAAAAAGTGCGTTCATTTCGAGAATAATTATGATATTCAGTTTCTGTAGCCCTTATTCTATGAGATTTCAAAGTATCTTCGCTGAAAGCTTCGTAGAAGTGATGTAAAATGTTGGTGCGCCTGCCGAGGTAGTAAACATCTTTGTAAAATTTTTTTGCGCAGAAAAAGAAAAACTAAAAAAAGTGTTTTTCAAAAATCCATAGCTTTGCAACAGCGCAACTACCCACCACCATTCTGGACTCGTCGCACAAGTATTTCATAAAGAGCATTCCGTGTTTGAAATTCATTTTGAGGCCGTTAATTAGCTGCCTTTGCCATGTTGCTCTAGTAGGCCTCGCTAGTCTGGTGCTTGTTCCTGGATACGCCTCCGGAAAAGCGTCATCAGCTTCTTGTGCGTCGCAACGAAAAGCCTCACAACAGTAAGCATTACCGGTAATCAGCGCAGGCGCCCGTCTGGTGTAGTGTCACTTTAGGCCTACTGCACGCTTTTGTAGGCAGCTACCTAAACGTGCTAGGCTGCCGATCGCTGCTTCTTCGTTGTGCGGGATCATGTTCAAGCGTGCATCGCTTTACAGAAACGCAAGCCCCGAGAAACCTTGTTGTATTATGCCAACATTCGCACCATACAGTGAGCGTAACCATACTGTTCGCTTTTATTCAGCCACAGCCCAAACGCGCCTCCGTCCGCTACCAGGATTGCTAGAGCATCGTGAAGAGCACATTGCTTATGGAAAGCTTGTCGTCGCTGTGTTAACCCAGCAGGCTACTCACAGAGTCTGTGCATGGCCTGAAGCAGAGAGGGCGTACTCTACAACAAGCGGATCGGCAGCCATAGTGTGCGCTGAGCGAAGCGCTGCGCGCAGATAGCCATGCAATAAATGATTTGGCTCTCTGACCACGTTCCATTAAAAAAAAAAAAAACTGCGTCAGTTTTCGCTTAGGGGCAAACCGCGGAACAACTGTATCACGGAGAGCCGATTGTGTCTGTTCAGTTGCTGTACCACACTGCATATCCCAGACCCTGCAGTAGTTTCGAAATGCTCATCGGCGTTGCCATCGCGTGGTATTGGGCGGTTGTGCGAGAGTCAGAAACTTTTTTGCCCTTTGACAAAAAGAAAGAAATGGCTTTGCGGTGGGCGCTTTAGGCAATATTTCCCGTGGCACTGAAATTCTTCCTTTGTTGGCTGTGATGGCGCATGTCAGGAGATGCAAATTTGTAACTGGTGGTAATGCGTAGAACGTTTAGTGAGTAGTTATGCCGGCATCCCCAGCAGGTTTTAACAGGGTTTCAGTGTATTCGCGATTGAGCATGTCGTACTTTGAAACATCGAGCACCGTGGCCATGCACACTACAGCCACGCTTTCCGCTCGAAGTCATGGTTAGGCCTCCTCCGCCCCGAACTCAGCAGGCAAAAACATCGTGCTAGCAGATATGCAAAAGCGAGGAAGCCGTAATGTGCTTTGTCACAAGCAACAAATTACATCGGCCGCTGGCTCCTTAGAACAGCAAATAGGCATCTTGCGTACGGTAGCGGACCCCAACCAAGCTCGCCACCCACCAACCGTTTGGAACAGTGGTGGCAAAGGCAGTGGTGGTTTTGCATGTGGGGGTGCGTCAAGCACGCTGTGCGTCGATTTTTCCTGGCCATAGCTCAGCATAACTAATTATTAAGAGACCGGAGATCAGCAGCCTTCATTTTTAAGTCATTACGTCGATATCCGCGGCACTATTCCCGTCTTGAAAGTAAACCAAGTGATGTTTGAAGCCGGAAGTAATAAAATTTAGGATGTCTGTGGTAGAAAAGTCCGCTGTAAGGGAGTCTTCATCACCTTGCTGGCCTCACATTTTAGTCAAACATATCAGAATGCCTGATGTGTCAGAATCTGTAGTAAACAAAGCTCAATCAATAGATAGGGAGGTCGGCATAATGCCTCCAATCAGTATGTAGAATCCAAATGCCTGTTGTAAGCAGATCCGTGGTAACGAGGTTAAACTGTACATATGTCGTTACCGAAGGTGGACACCATTTGTGGCCACCTTGGGAGAGCCAGATTCCACTTTGAGCCATTCTTTCTCTTCACTCTTATGTAAACACATTCTTTATATACCAAGAATATGTGGGAGTCAAGGCTATCATCACAGACCGCTAAAGAAAGTAACTTTTGAACCAAAGCACGTCTCTCGCAGAACTTACCAGTAGCATCAGAGAGGGAACGCTGATGGGTCTTCTTTGAAGACACCCCTAAAAATGATGAGGACATTTGCTGGACGGTAGCAACACGTGGCCTTCAAACAAAAAGAAAGAAAATTTACATATTTTACAAGCCACTTTTCTTTTGAAGCCATTTGAATAATTTCTAAGCGAACTGCATCTGATAGTTTTAGCTGTGTCAGCCTGGTGAAACAGACATTGCAAGAACAGTGCCAAAATTCTGAAATTCTACCACTAGTGTACTACGAATATCAGCAGAAATGATATGCAAACTTTGAAAAGATCATTTATAGAAAGGACAAAAGGATGCATTAGGTACTCAAATAACTAACTTTGTTTCAGAGATGGTTCACTGACAAGCATCAATGCATACTAAAGACTTGCCTGACACAGCCAAAAACTCATGACAAAAACAAAAGCCTTGAAATGAACACACACAACTAAAAGACCTATCCCACCAGACCTTTTGCTGCCATTTTACAATAAAAGCTTTAAATACGGGTTCACTTTACAGAGGCACTGAAAAATTTGTTCATGTAACCATAGAATATATTCACTAATAGAGCTTATTGCCCCACGAATTCAAAGGCACAAAAACTTTAAAGATCCGTCCAGTACGAGCGGAGTTATAAAGATTTGTTGCACGCTGCAAATGCATTCTCTCTTCTCTCGTCCCGATAAAAGCGCTGATAGCTAAGCAGAGGGGAATGGGATGGGCAACGAAAACATGTGACATATACCTCGTGATCTTGAACACTCTTTTCCTTTTTTTTTTTTTTTGAATACACGGCTTTTCAGTGTGATTGTGCCTGCCCGACCTCCCACGGCGATCCTCGTAGCGACCGAGTGCACCATATTCAAATCATTCAATGGCTGATAGATGGCCTTCTGCGAGTGATTTTTGAGCGTCTTCCGTCATTTTTTTGAGAGAAGAGAAAGCAATTTTGGGGGGACCATTTATTGTGAATTTCAGGCCACGTACTGCGCTATATTATTTGGCTCGCATGTTCTGGGGAGCCTGTACTACCGATTGGAAGCGGTTTCTGACCATACTCAAAAAATGTTGCAGGTCCCCTTTAAGCATGCTTATGGTTCAAACATATTTCTGACCAATCATTAAGGCAGTACTACTAATCATGACGTATTCATGTACAACCATGTCCATGACTGCAAAGTTGAGAGAGGCCTCACCGGAAGTGCTCGGAAAGAATGAGCTGCTTGAGCTGGTGGCCTTGCGAGCGTTTCCGAGGGGGAGCATTGGGGTCCGAGCAGAAGGCCGACAGCAGCCACACCAGGTGCAGGGAAAAGTCCGTGTCCTTGCTGCACCTGGACGACAAAGTACAGGCAACTCAGTGATGCTATCGAGGTCTGTTCACTTGGAGCAGCAAAATTCCCCACTTTGGAGCAGGTAATATGCATCTGGGAGCACTCTGGAGCAGCTGACTTAACAGCCTGGAGCACAATGAGAAGCTAATAGCATTACTATTCAAGAACATGAATAATTACTTTGGGGTTCTTGTGAAGAGCTGGAAATATTTCGATTGATTGCAAATCTCATGGAGCCAATCATCTTAGCAGCAATCCTTGTTTCACGAGATAATGCAATCCAGTCGAGCATTCTGGAACAACTTGTTCAGCAATCATTCTTGAAACAAATAAACAGCCTATCATTCCAATCAAATTTTACCTTATGAAATCATCATCATCATCAGCCTGACTACGTCCACTGCAGGACAAAGGCCTCTCCAATGTTCCGCCAGTTAACCCGATCCTGTGCTTGCTGCTGCCAATTTATACCCGCGAACTTCTTAATCTGATCTGCCCATTTAACCTTCTGTCTCCCCCTAAGCCTCTTGCCTTCTCTGGGAATCCAGTTAGTTAGCCTTAACGACCAGCGGTTATCCTGTCTATGCGCTACACGCCCGGCCCATGTCAGTTTCTTCTTCTTGATTTCAGCTATGATATCCTTAACCCCCGTTTGTTCCCTAATCCACTCTGCTCTCATCTTGTCTCTTAAGGTTGCACCTACCATTTTTCTTTCCATTGCTCGCTGCCTCGTCCTCAATTTAAGCTGCACCCTGTTTGTAAATCTCCAGGTTTCTGCTCCGTAGCTAAGTACCAGCAAGATACAGCTGTTATATGCCGTCCTCTTGATGGATAGTGGAAATCTACCTGTCACAATTTGAGATTGCTTGCCAAATGTACTCCACCTTATTCTTATTCTTCTAGTTACTTCAATCTCGAGGTTCGGCTCCGCGGTTATTACCTGTCCTGAGTAGGCATAGTCGTTTACAACTTGTAGTGCACTGTTACCTATCTCGAAGCGCTGCTCTCTTCCGAAATTGTTGTACGTTACTTTCGTTTTCCACAGATTAATTTTAAGACCCACCTTTTTGCTCTCCTTGCCTAACTCCGTAATCATGAGTTGCAATTCGTCCCCTTAGTTTACTCAGCAATGCAATGTTATCGGCGAAGCGCAGGAAACTAATATACTCCCCATGAACTCTTATCCCTAACTGTTCCCATTCTAGCCTTCTGAAAACCTCCTGTAAGCACGCGGTAAGTAGCATTGGGGAGATTGTGTCCCCCTGCCTTACACGTACCCTTCTTGATTGGTATTCTGTTGCTTTCTTCATGAAGCACTATGGTAGAAGTTGATCCCCTGTATATTTCTTCCAGGATGTTTATATATGCTTCATCGACGCCCTGATTCCGCAGTGTCTGCATGACTGCTGATATTTCTACTTAATAAAACGCCTTCTCATAATCAATGAAGGCTATGTATAGTGGTTGGCTATATTCTGAGCATTTCTCTATAACCTGATTGAAAGTATGAATGTGGTCGGTTGTTGAGTAGCCTGTTCAAAATCCTGCTTGTTCCTTTCGTTGATTGAATTCTAATGTTGTATTAACTCTGTTAGCAATTACCTTTGTAAATAGCTTGTATACTACGGAGAGCAAGCTGGTCGGCCTGTAATTCTTCAAGTCCTTGTCATCTCCTTTCTTATATATTAAGATGATGTTGACATTCTTCCAAGACTCTGGTACTCTTCCTATCAGGAGACACCTCGTAAACAGGGTGGCTAGTTTTTTTAGCACAATCTGTCCTCCATCTTTCAGTATATCTGATGTTACCTGATCCTCACCAGCAGCTTTGCCTCTTTGCATGCTCTCCAAAGCTTTTCTGACTTCTATCGTTACTGGTGGGGTGTCATCTGGGTTACTGCTAGTTCTTATAGTATTAGAGTCGTGGTTGTCCCGACTAGTGCACAGATCTCTGTAAAACTCCTCCGCTATTTTAACTATCCTATCCATATTGGTAGTTATTTTGCCTTCTTTGTCCCTTAGTGCATACATCCGATTTTTGCCTATCCAAAGTTTTCTCTTCACTGCTTCACCTTATGAAATAGCATTCTCTAAATACACCTACGTGTGGTTATCAGCAGACATGATAGACAAACGCTACGACGTACAACAATGCCACAACAATAGACTTTCACTGTCTCAAATGTACTCCCCCTAAAACAACCCCAAGGAGAGAGAGAGAGTGGTTCTTTTTCTTCACCATTTATTACATAGCTGGGCATAACATGACTTCACTTCGCAAGTCATGTGAAGCCACCTCCCTTCCCTCTGTCTGAGGCCTTTCTGTGCTGGAGTACGAGTACTCTCACAGTGCTTGCAGACAATATCTTGCACATGCACCAGGTTGCCCAAATATGGCAATACACTTCAATCGGGTTTCCATGGAAGTGTCAGAAAGTGCCTTCAAAGGTAGACTACACAATTTAAAAACTATCCATTATGCAGCAAAGTAGTATAATAGCTAGTTTTTATTGTGATAGCAATTATATTGACATTCTTAACTGGTTTTTGCAACATCATGTCTTGTGTGATGTCCAAATTGATAACAACCTAACGGGGTCGTGATGCGAACGAAGGGAGCATTCGGCAAGTTCAAGGTGCCGCTCTTTATTTGGCTGAACATGTGGCCATGAATTGAAAACTCAATCTTGTAGCGTACACGTATCCCAAAGGAGTATGGCCACTAGCTTGGGTTCGGTCTTAGAGAGCCGCAGAGCAGGCGTTAACTATCGCCGTGGCGAGAGCACGATACCACTCAAGGTCGCAACACTTTGCCTGCCGCAACACCAAAAACGCAGTATAAAGCCCGTTGCAAAGGGCGGCAGGAAAGCAGATGGGCTTATCCACACCATGAGCGAGAAGTACCACACAGAGTGCCACGAACACGTCTCCGTGGTAAAAGTGATTCACGGAGACACCGGGTCGACCAAGGCCCGGTTGCTCGAGCGAGGGCAAAGGTGTTCGCACTGGCTTCGGAGAGATACGGGTTGGCGTAGCTTGGCCACACACTAGGACACCGTACTGCTCTTCGGCCAAGCGTACGCAAAAGGGGCAACAAAAAGATGAGCGTTCGCCATCGGCGCAAGGTGCCATCAGCGAAGTTCGACGAGCCCCAAACAATGGGAGTTGACGGACGGAAAAGGGAATGCGTGCTCACCCTAAGTTGTCTCTGAAAAATCCGACTCACTCCCGACGCGCGCGTGCAAAACGTTCCGAAAGACCCCGCGCGCGGCACCACAGTCGACATTCGCTACCGAGTGAGAGGGGTTAAGCGTCACTTCTCATTCTCCCAGCGCAGCAGACAGCAGAGGAGAGGAGTCATGTCGGGACATGAGAACGCCAGAAAAGGTGGCAAAGCCCGCCCAAAGGGAGTGGGCTAGCCTCAATTCCCGCAATTCACAGCAAGAATTGCACACTGTACAATGATATCAGCACAAAGAGCGCTGGTAAACTGGTAATCATTGGAACATGCCTTCTTTCATACATCGGATCTTCCAGCCTTATCACTACCCATCACACAAACTCTGAAATAAGCTTGAGCGTTCGCGTATTGCATGCAATCATAACAAACTGGTCATCCACAATGGTGAAGCAGTTTCACTTGGCGTTGCTAGCAATCTTTGTGGGCATAAACCGAATACAGTAAAAGCGAATTAAGAAATGCACATGGCATTACATCTTACAATAGAGCGGGAGTGACAAACACGGGTGAAACAGAGGTAAAAAGAGCTGACCTATCTCCCCAGCGTGCCAGGTCTGTCATCAATCACTACTCAAGTGGACAGGAAATCCCCTGCCCGTCTTCAAGGAAGGGGTGTGGAAGGGGGGAGGATTGTGTTGCTAGAGCAGCACAACTGTGAAGTTTGATTTTAAGGGCGCGGGTGCGACCGCTGGCGTGCACACTATTTCGGCAGACATCACTGACGGCACGCATACTTGTTACGTATTGATCTCTCAGTGCAGACAGCACAAAAAGTGCATCGCTCCCTAAACCAGTCATGGAGGGAGTACTATTGAGCATTGAACCACAAGGTGGCAACACCACTGTGTCGCCACACTGGACCTCCATTCATACGTGCCATTCATGCTGTACGTGCATCAGCACGCAAGAGGTGTTCCGTGGGGTCTCTAGGGGTCGTTGTCAGATGGTATGCAAGTCACCGCAAGGATCTCAAACACAGCGCGTGAAGCAAGTTCCTGGCACATGTGGCGAGTGCGCGAATTTTTGAAATGGTGACCCCGTCACTAGGGCTCCTCGCGGATAAGGTCAAGCCTTATTTGGTATAACGATACAATTTGTTCGTATCGTAATCATTGCTAAAAGCTTAGGTGAAACTGGTTAAAGTGACTATGGCCACTCAAGTGATCGAAGCGGTCTCTGAATGCGAAGTAGGCGTTGATAGCGCACCAAGTTCTTGAGCAGTCCCATGATGCCTAACTGGACATAGTCTAGTTAACCTCTTTACCCGTCTTACATTCTCTCCCGTGACGCCATGAGATGGCCCGTGCTCCGGCAACTTCACCCTTCGAGTGACGCAGCTCCTCACCCCAATATCAAGCAATGACTGCAATACTGTCATGTTTTTTTTTTTCCTTTTCCCATCAGCTATCAGCACTGGAAAGCGAGGGGCAGACGTGTAACATGACATAGCTGCTTCACAGCAGGCTATCCGACACCAGGGATGTTAGCGATCGCAAGCTAGTGAAAGCTGTGCCAATTAAAGGTGTGGCTGCTTCGACCAGGAGGCATGCTTTTATTAATGGGATGGCATTTTTAAAAAAGGCACCATAGCACTCACGAACTCCAAAGGATGGGGCCTTTTAGGGGCATATACCACAAGAGCGATTACATGCACAGATGTGGTGGTGAAAGGAATTGCGAAAAATCTCTTCTGGGTGAATATCCATGGATAAAGTATATTTGAACAAAGGTGTCAATGTGTTCCCATTCACGGTTCATA